CCCCAATTGGCTCCGTCGGCTAACGAAGGGAAGGGGGGAGGAGTCCGCTGACGTCGATGTCCATGATGTCACCGGACTCCTCCACCCTTCCCTGTGTTAGCCGACGGAGCCACTTGGGTCGGTGAGTTTGGCCAAGAAACTTTCTGCACGAGCGCCAGCCAAGGCATTGGCCTATACACATACAGCACAGCAATGAAGTAATAAAATGAACTAGGATCACACTAATCCAGCAGAGCAAAATGGAATGTAGGAAAATAAAAAAAGAAGGAAGATGAGAGAACAGTAACACAAACAAGTGAAGGCTCAAAAGACACAACTGTAGATGGAAAGTTATTAGTAACATATTCTTTGCTGGCATAGTCCTTGCTGGCACTTCCTGTCCCACGGTGTTTGCATGTGGGTGCACGCGTCTATAGACTTACCTTGTGTCTCTCCTCGTCTACCAGCCGAAAATCCGAACTGTGCATGCGCCGGCCCCAAGATGCTTTGCGGCTGCCCAAGCATTTTTGGATTTTCGTACGGGAGGTAAAGACACAGGTAAGTTTAAATCGCTTTTAAAGCGTTTTGTTTTTTAAAAAACTTTTTGCATATATCTACTGCTTGCTAGCACCAGGGCCGTCTTTAATATTGATTGGACCCCGGGCAAACATTTTCTTGGGCCCCCCACCACGCCCCCCCATGCAATATTGCCCGCTATATGCTGACAGAGCAGAGCCACGCTGCAGCTGGGATGGATCCAAAAAATATTGTCCAGATCCACGCCACCACCTGATTGACAGCTGACTCTACCTCTCTAGAGGTTGTGTCCGCCCCATCCATCCCTCCAGTCAGCGTTGGAGGATCAGAGAGGGGAGGGGGGGTATTCCTGCGAGGAGCCGTGACTGACAGTCACCGCTCCCTGCAGAGAGAGTGAGTGCAGGAACTGCGTGATCAGCGGTATGTGATCGCTCAGTTCTCGATCAAGAGAGCCAACCTGTGGCAGCTTCAGTAACTAGGGGGAAGTGCGCATTTCACTCTCCCCATAATTCTACTTTCATGGTAAATGTGGATAATTCGCCACCTACCACTTCCACTGCATAGAATAGCAACAATAATAATAATGACACCTGAGCATATCCCCTGGTGTCATTATTATTATGCCCCCCCCCGTGTCATTATTATTATGTCCCCCTGGTCTCATTATCATTATTATGTCCCCCCCTGTGTCATTATTATTATGTCCCCTGGTGTCATTATTGTTATGTCCGGGGATAATGACACCAGGGGACATAATAATAATGACACGGGGGGGGGCATAATAATAATGACACGGGGGGGGGCATAATAATAATGACACGGGGGGGGGCATAATAATAATGACACCTGAGCATATCCCCTGGTGTCATTATCCCCGGACATAACAATAATAACAACGGGGACGGACAGAACAATAATGACACTGGGGACGGACAGAACAACAATTACATCAGGGGATGGACATAATAATAATGACACCAGGTGGACATAATAATAATAATGACACTGGGGGACATATTTAATAATGACATGGGGGCATTCTCTAGTTTATGGGGTGCAGGGCCCCACATGATTGGGCCCCGGGCAAGTGCCCCTTTTGCCCCGCCTTAAAGACAGCCCTGGCTAGCACTAGATATATGCAAAAACACCGGAGGTTTTAGAAACCCTTTAAGTGTTGTAGTTACCTGCTCCACCAGAGCAGCACATTCTCCTGCTCTGCTTCTCCCACTCAAGTATTCATTCACATGCATGAGACAGAACACAGCAAGAAGACTTTTAGAGAAGTGGTTTTTCAGTGCCCAAGGAGCTGCATGGAAAGAATTGTGAAGTGGTAGAAAATCCCTCCAAAGGTACGTAGAAACATTTGGAGGGATTTCTGGAGAGCAGGAAGTGTTCCTGTGAAGGATAGCTCTGCTTATGTACAGTTATCTTTTTATATTTTATCTAATATATTTAATTGAACTTAGTATTTGCAAATCGTTGGGAATAGCAGTGCAAAAGTTCACCACACACATTGCAACCTGATTGTACAATCTCTTTTCGATCTACTAACAAATTTGTAGTGCAAGAGCCCTCCTGAATGGATATAAATTGGTTGGACAGATTAGGTAGGCCCTCATATTACATAGTTTTGGTAGATCTAAAGTTGATTGGTACATACTATATACAGTATATATAGTATGTTCATGGGGGTAGCCTTATTCTCTCATTACATAGAGTATCCGCTTTCTGCCTTGCATGTTTTACTGCTGTTTTTTCCAATGCAAGTCTATGAGTTGGAATCACTGCCATTCACTGGACAACGCTATGGATATGATTTATATCCCAAGGCCACTTTTTCTGCTTAGTCTAGCTCTATGACCAAATTAAAATTACTTAGCCAAGCTTATCAATCACCTGAATATGTCTCCACTGTCTCCAGCATCTTCCTGCCCCCCTCTCGATTGCTGATGTTGGCTGTGACCAAATTGACTACTGCTGGAATGAACTCTTGCTTGTCTGTGGAAGTTAGCCTATCCATACAACCTGAGTTTAGCGGTTTGGTTTCATCGTCACTGGTCTGGGAACAAGGAGTGGTACTGCTTGCCAAATCATCCCACTGCTCTTGGCTCATTGGCCGTTGAATGTTGCTCCTTTCAGAGTAAGTATGATACTGTTCAGCATCAGAATTAAGATCTTCAAGACCATCTGCGAGACATGGAAGAGCTGCAAGTCAATGGAACATTTCTAAATCATCTGCACTGGTCAAATTAAACACTCACCATTTAAAACACAAGCAAAAAGAATGCTACATGACGGAGTGTTTTTGGATGCTTGACTCTTACCATGTTTCTTTCTACGTCTTCCAGGTTGTTTGCACCTACGTCTCCTGTTGTAGTTGCAGTTGTACTCCTCACTTCCAGGGGAGCGTGGAATACTGTCTGCCTGATAATGAAAAGAATTGCAAAAGTTAGGCACTACATAATCTGGTTGAAACCTCTTCATGTTTGCAAATATTCTTTCTTGACTTTCGTAACTATTTTACTAACACGTGTGCCTTTAAAATGTAATACTGTATATCATAATCAGTAATCAAGTTTTTTTAAACTCACTCTTTTATACAAACACTGAGCCCTGGGTAGTATGACCATCTGTATAGCTGCATACCTCTGCCAGCAGAAAGGGTGCCGACAGCTGAACCCACTGTGCAAATTTCAAACGATTCATGAAGAACTAGCCGAAGTCTAAGCCTAACACTCTCTATATCCAAAGAAATACAACCTATTCTACATTGTTTTGCAACCTCCTCACATCTCTTAGGTTGAAGGTAATCTCCAAGTTGCTCCAGAAGCTGTCCGAGAAGGTTGGGTACATGTCTAGCACCTCCAACAGATCTTCTCTTTGAATCTTGTGAAGGTCACAATAAGTCAGGGCCCTCACATCAGCATTGGACTTTCCAGGACGTGCATACAGACTGATAGGCTCTCCGAATATATCATTCTTTCCTGAAAAACAAGGTAGCAGCACTGAAATCAAAAATATTTCCAGTTAATAGAAAGTTTAGCTATATGGAGATGAATTAGCATGGGCCCCATTTGGCCTTTTTTAAAAAAAATCTGTGGCCTTAAAATTAATTAATCTTGAGCCTGTTTAGCACTGCTCTGTGTCACTCCTTCGGTAGCATGAGTGCATTCTTAAGCTATAAAAGTCACTCTCGGCCAGCACATACTATGATTACTAGTCTGTGAGAGATCACATGAAAGACTGTGTAAAATGTTGTATATCTGCTCTCTGGCAGCCATCCAAGTTAGCAGGACAGAATTTACAAAGTGAGGGTAGGCAGTTCACCAGTTCACTTACTGAAATGTGTTTAATTAAGTGCTAAGAGGAGGGTTAACGGTTACTATTAATGATTAGTCCCACTGTTGTAGTAAGAAAGAACCCCCAGCATCTGTTTAGACATGTAGCACTCTCAAGTTCTACAAAGTCTTCTGGGAGGGGTCAGCCAAAAACATGATCTAGGAATGGGGTTTCTGCAAAATCCCTTCTTTCATCAAAACAATGTTGCTGTGACCGCAGGGAAGTGAAATATGTTGTTTTAAAAAAAGAAAAAATTAGTTTTTCTTTAATAACACATAGTTTCAAGGAAGATAGCATGTAACCAAGACATCTGGTTAATTTAAGGGTTAATATTTGATATATGTATGAACTTGAGAAAAATCCCTTAACACTAATGAAATATCATCTCAATTATTCATATTATATTCAAGGGAGAAAAAAAGACCTGATTACCCAATATAGCCACCACAATGTCATCCCTGAGAATTTCAATCGACCCACGAGAGATGAAATAGAGAGTAGTCAGCACATCTCCATAGTGAACCAGTGTGTCCCCCGGTGGGGCATGCGTAGTCTTGAACTTCATGGCCAGGGCTCGCAAGCATCCTTTGGTGGCACCACGGAAGGCTTTGCAGTTTTGAAGCAGTGTGCGGTTGAGGTGCAGACATATGTCTGCTTGGAGGCACTCTGGAAATCCTTTCAGCACCTGCAGAATTAGAGAAACAGAGAATGAGAGAACAAAAGTCTAAATAAAACTATAGATAGTCTGAAAGGAAAAGGTAAAGATGTGAAGGAGGACAGTATGCAAAATTGAATGCAGGATCTCAAAAATATGAAGTAGTGAAGGGAAGTTGATGAAATATGGATGATATGATTATATGGTATGGTTTTTAACAGGATTTACCTACTTTGTCCTCAAGGGTCATGCTCATTCATCAGTATTATGATTGCTTTCATTAACATCTTGTAATAAATATGTATAGGGGAATGGAGGAACTATCAGAACCCAGAGTAACCATTAGCACTTCTGCCTTGCAGCTCTAAGGGTCCTCGGTTGAAATCCCGGTCAGGACACTATCTGCAAGGATTTTGCATGTTCTCCCTGTGCTTGCGTGGGTTTCCTCTGGGTACTTCGGTTTCCTCCCACACTCCAAAGACATGTTGGTAGGTAAATTGGCTCCTGTCTAAAATCAGCCATGTATGCATGTGAGATAGGGATTTTAGATTGTAAGCTCCCTGAGGGCAGGGACTGAAGGGCAGGATGTGAATGGGCACTGTGTAACGCACTGTGTAAATTGTCGGTGCCTATGATAAATAAATAAATACATTTCTTTAAAAATGGATGATGCATGAACATGTGCTGTTGGATTACTTGATGATTCAGACAGGGAGTCCTCAGACACCCTCAGCTTCAGTCATGTTTCAGCAATCCCCATAAAATGTTGGCCAGATGTGTCCCCCTTAAGGCTTACCTTCACAAATTTATATTATAGTATTCACAAAATGATGGCTTCTATGTAGCTCAACTGCCCTAGTGCAACGCTGGTGTGAGGATTTAATAAGGTCATACATAGGTTAATTTCTCACTTAGGGCATCAGTTGGTAAAACATGTGCATGTTGTCTCTCGTCTTGGAGGAGCTCCTAGACCTATAACAATCTTCTTGGCCAATTGGTTGATGGGATACATGCATGGTGAATGCACCATTCCCTTCTCTCCACAGCAAAAGAACAGAGACTGCTTGTACAGAAGGTTGAGTATGCTTAAAATCTTTCTGTGCAATAACAAAGGTTTCTAAAGGCCAGAAATGCTCGTTATCACCCCTTAATAAACCCTACATGGCCCAATGTCTCTGCAATTATCTTTTGTATCACTCATTGACAGCCTTTGTTAGAGGTGGAATATGCAAATTTGGAATGAGGGCATAGACTTGACATCTGTAAAACTAGAGAAACAAGAATAAGTGGTATACATAGAGAGATGTGATGAGATAGAAAATTAAAGTGGAAATACAACATACTGTACTATCCCTTACAGTCAGGGAAGGGGCCATCTTAGATTTATTTGCATTGCAGTTGCCATGGTGCTGTACATGTGATCAGCTACGACACCAGACATTTGAGTACTAGAATGTTTGTTTAAGAGCTGGAGTAAGCACACTGGCAACCTTGACAGTTGGCATGCCAAAGTAACTGTTTTGTAAGACATTAAAATTGGTGGGTCTAGTTCCACTTTAAGAAGACAAGAAAGCATTTAGGAATGGGATGTGATGGGGTTGAAGTTACTTTAGGATGGCACTGTATATACTGTATTGTATATACTGTACTATATACTATATATACTGTACAAATACTATACTGTATATGCTGCTGTTTATTGTGAGAACAGGGTTACATGTGGATTCAGTGGCATATGAATACACAAGACTCGAGGAGTTTTAACAAGGAAAGGAGAATGGAATGGTCTGGTTTAGGCTTGTCACTGGAGTACAAAATGGAATTGAAAATGTGATGGGTCTATGTATCAATGCAAAGGAAGGTGTGCATTGATTTGGAGTCACCAGACAAGCAAGATATAATTATGCATTTTATCACTCACAACAAGACCTCACATGACTACTTCTCTGCTGTAAAAATAGATAGTATTTATATGATACACTGTTATGTGGTCTGACAGTTACTTCTAAAATAAAACATGCCTTCTTAACGGGAATCTCAAAATTGCAGAGAGAATTCCTGACCAGGGGAGGCAATGTCATGGCAACACCTTGTGGATATCGTTTGATCATGGAGGATCAGTGCACAGTAAGCCTTATTTATCAATGTGTCTGTAATAAGAACTACTGTATCTGAATTGACCCCCAGAAAGCCATTGCATTTACAATTTAATTCTCCAACATATTATCTTCCAGCATAGGATTAAAGCTGGTTGGTAAGAATGGGTAACACGGGAAGTTCTTTTCTGACATAAACTGATAAATGAAGCTCACTGTCTTCTTCCCCAATTAGAGGACTTTATTCCATTTAAAAAAAAAAGGATAAAAACATGCAGCTAAAAGGTACAAGGCGTCTAACATGTTTTACAAATGCAATGCATGAAAACCAAATACCTTTCAAGTTGATATTTCAGTCTTGCATTCTTATTGGCAAGTTGAATCACATGCTGGCAACTGAGGACTCCAATTGTAAGATTTCTTCACTGGAACCTATCAGTTGTTCCAAAATGCTGCGGCCATTACAAAGCCAAATGAGACTGTCAGAATCCCATAGGGATTCTCCATAAATTGTCAAAGTCAAATAACCGTGGAACAGGTTCCAGGGAGTGACAACATCATTGTGGCTTTTGTGTAAAAAGAGCAGAAATACAAACTTTTCTGCAGGCACACTTTTTCACTGCAGTCTATGAAAGATAAAAGAAGGTGGTGGTGCGTGATTCATTCTGCCAATGGAAAAGCCAAAACTGAAATGTCAGTTTTAAAGAGAACAGGTCATTATTCATAGAGATCCTCCAGATTCTGAGCATAACATATACCATGTCAAATATCAGTAAAACTTTGGTAAAAGGTAGATTCAATTGTCAGCATTACCCATAAATATTAGATGCCCATTGTCCCACACCAATCGTGTGGAGATTTAATAAGCTTGCGGATTTACGTAGAAGGAAATGCCTATAGATCAGATTGGCAATTTGTTGACGACAGACTGCAGCCTACAAAAGTACACGATTATGAATTTGACTATTATATCTTTTTTTTGAGAACTAAATTTGTAAACAGAGAAGCAAAACACATTAAATAAATCAAACAAGCAAATGTAAAGAGTCAAAAACAAAACTAAATCAAACACAAAAATTAATTAAAATTAGGTAAATTAAGCAAGACACACCCAAACAAAAAAATGCTGGAGACTGCAGGCAAAGGAGATATATGCTCAGATGCTGAAAAGGCAAATGAAGAAGAAGAAGCTGAAAGTTGGAATAGTTTCTCTTATTTATTTTGATGGAGTTCTTTAGATCTTGTCAGCCTTTTAAATGCCAATCCAGAGTGAAAGACTGAGTAAAGTTCATGCACATTTTACGTTAACACTTCAGGCTAAAAAACCAAGAGGCTGTACATTAATTACTGAATGACATTGTTGTATAGTTATTGTCAGTGACTCCTTGCCTTGATACATAGACCTTTAGTGAAAAAAAAAACAAAAAACTTCAAAGGCCAGCTATGACCACTCATAAGTCTCAGTTTATTAATTGATATGGGATTGAAAACTGTATTGGTCATCTAGTTCTATGAAAGGCCATCTGTATATGCATATAACTCATAATTTTTTTCTCTTTATGTCTTTTTTGCTAAAACCATATTGTTTCATCCACATTGGCTTGAAAAAAATATATTTTAAAACATTTGAAGAACATTATCAACAAACAAATGGGGCGCTGAGGACTTATTCTACTGTTTGGGAACTACAGCAGTGTATATCAGTCAGTCAGATGTTAGTGTGTTGCATTCAGCTCTGTTTGAGATGGATTCAAATTGGTTCTATGGGTTACTGCATTCTGCATGTGGTTACTGTATGTTGATGTGCCTTATTATGATATCAGTATCAGTGACCTCATTAAACTTTGTATAGTCTGTTTAAACAGCCCCGATGCTGGCGACGTACACTGTACGTCGTCAGTCACGAAGGGGTTAAAAAAGAATTTGTTTTTGCTTACTTGGACCTTTAATGTTTTCAGCAATGTAATTGTATTCTTACAATATCTAAGTATACTACCATTGCTGAACATTGCGTTTGCTATCTTGTCAAGTCTTCAAAGTGTTACTTCTGGTACACCCTTGTAGGTGTCTATCATGATTAATTATGTGAGTTGTGTAATTTTATATTATGTCATGTATGTCAGCGTGTATGTAGCCCTAGAGTATTACATCATTATGTCTATTTTGGACCGAATCTGGCAGGTTGAATGACTCATTAGCTTTGAATATCTTATGGGGATTTTGCCAGAGGGATCTTTACTACTAAGTTCCATCCCCCCGCTGTGTCGTCCTCCCATTGAGTGTTTCATTTATGGTAATATTACAGGACTGAAACAGCAGAACGGAGACTCTTCTTATTGCAACAAATTGAGTGGGACCTAATGACTAGGGGTCAAAGCTGGGATCTTCATATGGGAAATTTCACCACTAATGTTCCCTAAAATGTTAGGGTACCCCTGGTTGATCCAGCCCAACAGCATTTATGCATATAAATATCAGTATATTTACTTATATGACATGGTTCTGTGCAGTAACCAACCAGAAAATCGTATTTAATATCTGCACCTACTTTAAAGCTGATGAAAGACAATTTCTTGTTGGTTGTCCAGAAGCCTCAAGGCCAACTGAAGAAGTTTAAAGCAAGCATTCATCTTTGTGGGCCTGAGTGCAGTAATTCAATTCTCTGGGTTACTGAATTTAGGCATCCTTGTTTCTTTCTATGCCTCATTAACAGCAACTCTACTCAAAACATAATTATTATTTGAGGAAGAGTGGCACGGGACAATCCCCCTTTGGGTCTTATTCTCTCTTTAGAAAACACCATTTTCTTAGCCTGGCTTTGACATGGTGATCTTGGCTTTTTAACTAAGCTACTTGCATAATTGGCCTGAATTTCCCATATGGTCAGTAGACTAGAGAGCACAGTATCTTTTTATCCTTCTGCCTTCTAGTGGATTCTTCATAGAAATACATTGAAAAATGCTCAGCTATGTCTTTCCTGTCACGTCTATGCTGGGTTCAGTGTTGTTCTCCCTGCAAGGAAACACAGAAAACAGTATAGACTCGCACGGTCAAACCATGACACTCTCAACTGAAATCAGAGAAATCCATTTGGCATTGATTTGCTTTTCAAATAAATATTTTATGGGTAAAGAAGCCCAAATATGCAGTGAACCTGATACAGTTAAGATGTGCTACGGTTATCAACCCGCTGAGTCACATGGAGCAAGGAGGAAGGTACTGTATATGCCCTTGCCTGGCAGATGATCTTGGCTTGCGATCCAGCCGCAGGTTGCATTTTAGCCTTTCAAAGGGAAGAGAAACCATGAGGCCCTGTGCTTGATGCCCAGAGAGAGTGCAACATCATCTCAACACAATCCTAGGCAAACTGTATGGATTCAATGAACACAGGAATCCTGTAAAGACAAGATCACAACACACGGGATCCCTACACACACACATGTTTACATACTACTCACCGCATGGAGGATAATATGTTGACTGTGCATGCACAGACTGGCTTTCAACACTCACAAACATTTAGGCTTATTTATTCAGGCAGATCAAAGCACATTGAAGACATGCAAAGTACGGTAGCCCAAAGAAACCAGATACAGATCGCTGGCGGACAAAATCTGATTAACCGATAAGGGCGATGAACTGTGCACATTGCTTTTTTCCTACAATAAATAAGCTGGATTTAATATCTTTAAAAAAGATATTAAAATAATATACAGTCCATTCACTATCAACTAAATAGAGCTGTGTATTTTTGGATACCAAAAATGATACATAGGGGTGATTTACTAACCTAAACACACACACACACCAGGTGTGTGTGATTTTCACACAGCAAAACGTATTTATCAACCAAAAAGTCCCTAAAAGCATATTTCCACTAATGCCATACATGGAAAAATCATGCACATGATGCATATATAATGCTGCTTCACAGTTTAGACAAAAATGGTTAGCTCATGCATTTACATTCCTGGATTCATCAACGCAAGCAACATAACATAGAGCTAATTTACACAACATCACCTTGCAATTCATTGCAGGGCTTTGCACAACACACCTGCTGGGTGTGTACACACTACAAAGGTGTTTCGATTCCTCCCATAGATCATGCTGGGAGGGAACACACTACAGAGGTGTATACACATTTGTGGTGTGTTTAAAAGGTTAGTAAATCAACCCCATAGCTTCATTATGTACACAGACCCGGAAAGTCAGTCTTGCACAAAAATACAGTTTCTACAGGGAAAAAGACAGGACTCAAGCACATATTTTATATAATAGTAGAAAAAAGAAAGGTGTCTGTGTTGCCCAGTAGTAGCAGCCACTAACTAGTAAAGGTTACAAAATGTAGACAGTAATCTTATTGGCTGGGCAACACATACTTTTCCTTCTTCTACAGCACCATCACGGTCACCCAAAATAGGTGTTCAGCCTGAAGTGACACCAAACTCAGGAGTTAAATCTTAAAAATACATTCAAGTGCCTTAAATATTATCAAAAATGTATCTTATTTGTGTATCACTCAGATATAGATCCTCAAATCATCTCTGAATTGGTGCCGACACTGTCCTTCCTTCTGGAGGGGGGCTACTTTTGTTCCCCATGGTCCCTGTGTGTGTGTTGTAAAGTAGCCACCACTCCAAGCTCATTCCCGTATATCACTTTAGTTTACTAACTTGAATTGAGATTGTAGTCCATCACAGGAATGAGCTTGGAGCGGTGACTACTTAACAACACACAGGGACCATGGGGAACAAAAGTAGCCCCCCTCCAGAAGGAAGGACAGTGTCGGCACCAATTCAGAGATGATTTGAGGATCTACAGCCCAGTGATACACACATAAGATACATTTTTGTTAATAGTTAAGGTACTTGAATGTATTTTTAAGATTTAACTCTGGAGTTTAGTATCACTTTAAAGTACACATCATCCAAAGCCATGAGAGTATAATGAAGGCTGCCATTGTTGATCTCTGATTTTGAGTGTTTCATGACTGTCATACTGATCCTTTGTAGTTTTTCTAGGTCATTTTCCCAGAAGTATACAAATAAGATATTCTGACTTTTTTTCTGATTATATTTTACAGCATGTGGCTCAAAAGTATTGAGGCCAGACAATTTCCAAAAGGAAGCCACTAATCGCAGCTCACAAATTCCTCTCATGGTGCACTTTACCACCATCCATTTTGAACATTATTCTTACACAGAGGCACAATTACCACATGAACTGTGCATACAGAAATGTTATACACCTAAACAAAAAGTTACTACATGTAGCAAAGCAATATCCTGCCAAATATTATATATAGACGACCTACATCCACACACAAGAAAAATACTATTGGCTATGCATGCATGCTACTATTTCATGCACATTCTCAACAAGCAACATTTTCCTCATGCATAACAGCAAAATAAACAATACTATTAACTTCTAGGCACAAGCACAATACTTAAAAGGGATGTGACATCTACAATATCTACACACAGACAGGATTCCAAATAATGTAGTGATGCTTCCAGTAACTGTGGGAAGTCAAAAGGTCAACTTCAGATTAATAGGTATATGATTTAAACCTGTAAGATACCACCGTCTTTCTGCTCTGAGTTGTGAGCGCAGTTTTCCTCATCCCGGCTCCTCATGTGAAAAAAATATGTTCAACTTGATTGAGGGGCCACAATTTCAAACATCATTAAGCACAAATGGTATCTAAAAGGCTCATGATAACATACCTACATTGTCATTTAAGCAACATAATAACTCTTTCTATGCAAAATGACTATTATGATGTCCCTTATAGTCTATAACTGTCATTTACGCCATTGAATCTTGGCTCATGTGTGTTCACACTTCCTCTTGTTCTGCATGCAATAGCTGGGCAGGTCTAAACCTGCAAGAAAAAACTCAGGTTCCATGATAGTTACATAGTTACATAGTATTTGAGGTTGACTAAAGACATAAGTCCATCAAGTCCAACCTATTGTGTGTATGCATTTATGAGCTGGTGTGTGCGTGTATATGAGTCCATGTGTGATTTTTCTCTTAGCAATACCTTGTACCCCTGAATGTTATGGTCTCCCAGGAACTTGTCCAGGAGTCTCTTGAATGATTCCACACTCTTAGCTGAAATCACTTCCTGTGGCAGCGAGTTCCAGACCTTAACCGCTCTAACTGTGAAGAACCCCCTGCGCCCTGTGTGGTGACATTTTTTTTCCACCAATTTTTGGTTGTGCCCTCTGGTCTTTGTTACGGAGCTGACCGTAAACAGTTTGTTACTGCGGTTGCTGTCACCCTTGAATAGTTTATACATAAAAAATCATGTCCCCCCCTCAATCTCCTAACCTCCAAAGAGAACATATTTAATTTTAACAACCTTGTTTCATAGTTCAGATCCTCGAACCCCTTAATGAGTTTGGTTGCCCTCCTGATGCAGTGTGGCAAAAAAAACCTGACCTGAGGTTTTTCATCTTTGTTAGAATTCTCAGGCCTAATGAAGCCAAATTAATTTTTCTATCAAGGGAATCTGATGCCTAAACCGCAGCTGCTTGAAAAACCATTAAAGTGCAACTGAAGCCAAAATATTAAAAAAACATTTGGATAGCGTGAAAGGGGATTAGAATGCCTGTCAAGTTTTTACTGCTGTCTTTGTCCCCGTTAGGGAGATTCACCCTCTCTATATGTCCTGGTGACCATTGTCACTAAAAGTAAAATAAAATCCCACATTTTGGGTTGTCACAAGACAGGGATAGATGGGAAATCTTCCAAAGGGGAGTTTTTGTGACCCTGCTAGCCACCAGAGATTTCCCTCACGTTGGAGGGATTTCCTCTCACTTCCTGTTAAAGGCCAAGAGACAGAAAGTGAAGGGTAAACTGCCGAAAGGAACACAGATGGCAAAAAAGCCAACAGGGGTTTTGACCCTCTCTCCTTATAAATTGTCATCAGTTCTACTTTAAACAACATGGATACATGGTTTTTGCACACACTTTTGAGCAGAGTCTATCAAACTATTAAGCATGGGTAGGCAAAATCCAGTCCTCCAGCTGTGGTTAAGCAACAAATCCCATCATGTATCTGTCTCTGGGAGTCATGTCTGTGGCTGTCAGAGTCAGAATGCCTAATGGTATTTGTAGTTGCACACCAGCTGGAGGGCCGGAGTTTGCCCCTGCTATAAAATAAGGTGAGGTACAGTGGAGTGAACACTGACATTCAATCATATGCACGGGCATTATTAAAAAAAAAAAAACAAACAACATCTTCTGTCCATGACTGGATGTTTGAAGTGAACACAGGTTCATGTTGCTGTACTTTTCCCTTTAATAAATCAGACACAATATCTGAGATTTGAAGCTGGGAGAGAAAGTCTGAAGACAAACAGCTTCTGCTCTCTTTAAAAAAAACAACCAAAATATAGTGCTCTTTGAATTCTGTGCCTTAGGTGCAGAATCAGAAACAGTTTAAAAAAGTATAAAAGAAACTTCAAGCAATTTCCCCATCTCAGGTAAACTGCACTGTTGCCAAGGCACACTCACCCACCTCTGCCCTGTCCAATGAGGGACCTTGTATTTTCTACTTAAGGGCTCCTATAGGACAGGTGAATGGTTGATAGAGATTAGCAACAGGGATGGCTCTTCTGGGATGTTGATCATTTAGTAACAAGAAGAAAGCAGGCTCAGAGGTGTGCAGAGAATAGACTTTTCTGGCTAAAAAAGGTAATAATGGAAAACTTGAGGTGTCTTTTCTTATACAGGTTGCAGAAAAAAATTGCCGTCTGGAGACGGCAACCCGCAGATGCTGCAGTGCCGTCCGTCCGTTTTTTTACTACGGGCGGACGGCAAGAGGTTAAAGATTTTATATGGCTGATAGGTTAATTTTACATAAAGCCACACTAATTTCAGGAGTTAAGTCTTAAAAATGCATTTAAGTACCCTAACTTTTAAAAAATATGTAACTCAATTGTGTATCACTTGGCTGTAGATCCTCAAATCATCTCTGAATTGGTGCCGACACTGCCCTTCCTTCTGGAGGGTGGCTACTTTTGTTCCCCATGGTCCCTGTGTGTGTTATAAAGTAGTCACCGCTCCAAGCTCACTCCCATGATGGACTACAATCTCATGTTTAGTTTACTAATTTGTACTGAGATTGTAGTCCATCCCGGGAGCGAGCTTGGAGCGGTGACTACTTTACAACACACCCAGGAAGCATGGGGAACAAAAGTAGCCACCCTCCAGAAGGAAGGACAGTGTCAGCATCAATTCAGAGATGATATGAGGGTCTACAGCCGAGTGATACACAAATAAGATACATTTTTGATAACATTTAAGGTACTTGAATGTATTTTTGATAAATTCCTAACTAGTAACAAAAATGTATCAAGATTTAACTCCTGAGTTTAGTGTCAATTATAATACACACAATGTTGACAGTTGATGAGGTTTGTTATTTTTTCTTTTGGTGATATTGGCCATTAATTTGTAATTTATCGTTGTGATCGACTATCATCTAAAAAGTGTTAGCTGAGCACCTGCCTGGCTGTGACTTATGGATAATTAGTGGTGATAAATCTTTGTCCCTGCCTCGCCTATTGATCTCTCCCCCGTGCACTGTGATTATTAGCTTGTTAATTAGTATGGATTAGTCTCACATCGATAAAATCTGCTTAGTTTGGGATCAAACATTTTACGTTTGGGGAAATGGATCAGCTAAGACCCAATCCACCTTACGGAGTGAGAAATAATAAAGAGCTTTCACTGAAGAGTTCAAGCAGTTCTCAAATATCCCAGTTAACCCTTTATTTGAGAGAACGTCAAAAACATTTCTTCATATCCTAGATAAAAAAAAAAAAAATACTTGTATTTGCCTTTCTACAACTTTCACAATTTTCTGTGTATATCCATCCAGTCATACCTTCATCATACCGGCTGCTTATGTTGTAATTTAGCCACCGCAAATGAGCAGTGAATTATTCTGCAAAAAAAAAAAAGTAAGCTTTCTTAATAGCTGACTGTTTGCCAGCTATTTGCTGGAGGTTCCAGAGGAAATGCACAAGCCAACGCGTTACACTCGTCAAAGGAAAGCTAAATAATGATACCAATAATGAATTCCGGGCACATTTTATCTCCTGCATTATATTGTGTTGGCATGACTGCTTTCCAGACATTCTATAAACAAGAGGATTATTAACTGCGCTTTAGAACCTGCCGAGCCAGAGAACTATAACAAATTATATATTTCACTGGGGTTCTCTCAGTCCAATTTTGTTTTCACAGAAGTAATAGCTAGAATAATAATTAGCAGCCATGTTATTTATCTTGCCTCTCTGCTATAGCAACAGACAATAGAAGGCTAGAATCACTGGTTAGTGGGGGGTTCTCCTTAAAGTTTACCTGTGCAGTGCAAAACAACAGGTTGACTTTAATTATCCCCCTCACCACCTCCACAGCAAATACTTTTCCTCCACTCCTGTCCATTTTGAAGAAACACTCCAGTCAAACCTTATTCAAAATTGAGGATAATTCCTGCCCCTGTGTGACAAAGATAAGCCAATCACCAAGCTTCAGTGCTGTCACATGGAATGAGTCACATGCTTCTCTATAACCAGAAGCACTGTGTGTTTGCTTTACTCCAGCAGCTGAACAGAGCTAGGGAGCAAGTATGTGCTGCTGGGGCACTGTGTATTAAAGTGCATGTAGACCCTAACGATGAACTTCTCTTCTTTATTCTTCTTTGGTCTGGTAAATTTAAAATTGATTTTTTTTTTGGTATAACTCTTTGATAAGTAAAAAAAAACAGCCTGTTGATCTTCCCAGAAATGTTGTGAGCTGATAATTACCTGGACCCCCAGCCTGTGCTGCATTCTGAACTTATCAATTACATAGTTCGCAGGTAACTCTTAAGACTAGAGAACCATGCCCCTCTATATTATGGACAATAGGTCCAGCTGGAAGCACTTTTGTAGCTCCGTACGACGTACGTCCTTGGCAGCGAAAGGGTTAAAGCTGGAGGGGCAAGGCACAGATTTGTTTAATTGCAGTGGAGTGTCTCCTTTATTCTACAGGAAAACAAGTAAAAATGATCCTCAAACCTCTACTTCTTAGCATGAAAAAAATATCAAATTCTCCTCTGTTAGTCATAAACAAAATCTATAATGAGGGAAATGAAAGCATTGCCATTGCTGCCTTCCTGGAAATATGTCTCAACATTTTTGGAGATGCTGACTCTGAACATAATTGCAACACGTGAAGTCACAGTGAAATCAGAACTCCTAACCTGCATAAAGGGGTTTAGAAAGTATTAAAATGTATGTCCGGGGGAAAATTTAAAAGAGGAAAAAAACACGCAATGCATCTCTGCAATATATGCACATTTACCCCATGTGTTGCCTCTTTAAAAATACTGCAAGTACAGAAAAATACCTGTTGATCCAATTGCAAATCTAGTGTGCTGCTAACCTCCTGTGAGCTGAGAACACAATGCCCCTTTAACGTAAGCTCTGTAAAAAAAGGGGGTAGGAAACCTCGGCACACCAGCTGTAGGGAAACTACAAATCCAACTAGGCCTCTGCCTCTGGGAGTCATCTCTGTGGCATTTAGAGTCTTGCAATGCCTCATGGAATCTGTAGTTTCACCACAGCTGGAGGGCCACGTTTTATAACATAAGATAACACCGGGTGCCTGACCTGGTGCAATAATCCTTTTTAACTGTAAAATAAAGTACAATACAATATACTCACAAGGGGAGCAAGATGAAAACATCAAATGGAAAACATGGACTGGTAGTCCTCAATAGATAAACTGCTGGGGAGATGAATTAAAAATTATCTAGGAGCTCTGCTGAGCTGCAGAATCACGCTACCTGTTGCTAAACGTGTTTTCGGGGACACTCCCCCTTCTTCAGAGCTGGATAGCTGACTATCACTGTGCTGATTTATATTCTATGGTCAATCAAAGGACCTCTATGGGATCGGAAAATGACCAATCAGCCGATGGCATTATGTTGCTAAGAAACCCTCTGTCTGGCCAATCAAATCTAAGGGGGTGTTACCATATTCGGGAGGACGGGGACAGGGAAAATTCCCCATATCAGAGAGCCAGCCAAAATATACACTCCAGCGGAAAAGAAAAACCGCTGATCGGATATATCAAGTGGGGACATAGCATTAAAACGCACAAGATAGTCGTATACCTTACAATGAAAAATGACTGTACATAACAACCACCAGCCTCGCTACTGTAATATCGGATGCACAGACACACCACCTCAGTGAGCCGCCCATCAATACACACAAGGTTAATAGGAGGCCGACATGAAGTGAGTGTCACGGCTCCAAGGGCCAACTGCGAGGCTGTTTTTTTTTCCCACCGGAGTTATTCTTTAATAAGTAATATGATACCGCATTATAGCCACTAGATGGAGCTGAGGAACATAGAAAATTAATTTCTACTGTTCCACCTAGTGGCCATAATGCAACATCCCATGACATTCAACCTGAAAAAAAAATATATATTAAGAATATTCATTTTTTCCTCTACTCGCACAGATTGAACGTTCACAGGGATTAACAGGGTAAATGGCTCTTCAGATAAATAGACCCCTTACGATCACCTATTCACTGTGAACTCTTTTTTTTTTTTATGTAGTCACGCTGCAATGAAATCAACTGAGATGAATGAAATATGATTCATGATTGGGTGATGTGGCCAGCACATTATGCCCTTCAGCTTATTGAAGTACACAATGAGAGATATATGTAGGCTGCTATTGTTGGTCTCCATCAGAAAGTGATAGCTCCTTGGCTATCTCTGGCTTCAATACTCTCCGATTCACTGACCTGGAACAAAGCATGAAACTCTGAAGCCAGAGCAAAGCATGTGGAAATAGTCGGAGAAAAGTTTGTTACCTCAGTACTTGTGTCAGGTCAGTAATCCAAAGCACTAAAGCCAAATCATCAGCATGGTAGCCAGTGAACTTACATTGACAGCAGACAAGGTCTGCAGTGGAAGCACACATATTTCTTCCATGATGGGTTTTTAATATCAGTGAATGGTGAGCAGTAAACTCCAGTGACCCATCAAATAAAAAGCTTCATCGCTTAATCCGATAAAGGACAATTGATTGGTAGCTGTTGGCTGCTGCATGTCATTTGTAGTTTGTGCATTTTCTACAAGATTATTCTATACAAAGCTATGAAAACCTGGGCTCAAGCTGGCCATACACTGGTAGATTTGCGGACAAACTTTACTACGAAAAATCTTGCCAGAACATTTGGTAATGCCATCAGAGACTTGACAAATATAAATGTAAACTTTAATTGGGTTTACCGATTTAACAATTTACGAACTATTGGGGTTCCTGAACGATAACCACATTCGCTGTTAAAATTTTGTTTATTTGAGAAACATTTTCCATCTTGAGCCCTTGATTGCTTACATCACTGCAGATGAGAACGATCGTCGATTTGACCCCATTAAGTATTAGTTAATTGAATGAACGTCCCAAAAAAAAGATTTTGAACAAAATTCTACTGTTGTATGGCCAGCTTAACATGGGTTCTGTCCGCAGTTATTAACATTTGGAAGAGTCTCTCACCCAAAACAGATAATATAAACAGATTATATTATAAGAGATAAGATAAACCAGTGGGTGTTTCATCTCACCATTGAATGCTGCCATAGAAATTCTTAGTGAACCAAACCTTAGAAACAATGATTTTTGTTATTTTGGGCATTTCTGTCTCTTGGGGGGGAGCAAGTTTCTGTTTAGCAAAGCAGCGCACTTACCGCATTCATGTCAATGCCGTTGGTGTAGGACCAGGCGTGCTGGAAATACTCTTCAAGGCGCTGCCTCAGTGGGTTGGGGATTTGATGGAAGCGGATAAACTCCTTGACACGCAGCATCTGAGTGTGGTAACGCGCAGTGCCGGAGTACAGACGCTGAATTATGGCGGAAACATTGCCGAAGATGCTGGCATACATTAGGGCTAAGAGAGACAAACACAAGGAGATAAAATAGAATAATAGAATAATACAAAATCAACCTTAGAAACAAAGTCATATCCTGACACTAATACCTCGCCGATGGCATTCATATAAGAGACGGAGAAGGGGAAAGTGTCTGGTTACTTTCAGCATCCTCATATTAGTACTGATTAACGAATACAAGGACTCAAGTAATTGGTTATTTTAAAGAAAGCAGACACTTTCCTTTTCATGAGTTTTTATACCTTAGACAGAAAGTGTGCCTAAAAGTCACGGGTCCTGGTGCAAAAACTGCCCAGGGTGACTCATAATGCAAAAATAAAAAACCCTTTGACAACCTTTATTCAGATTTGTGGACAATGCTTTGCATGAATTGTGTTTTTTTTTAGTTTAGATAGAGTTGAGAGGGATTAGAACACCCAATAGGGTTTTATTGCTGTCTGTGTCCCTGATAGGGAGATTCACACTCCCACTATTTGTCTTGATGACTGTTATCAAAGAAAGTGAAAGGAAATCACAACATTTTGGGTTGACATAAGAACAGGAATAGATGGGAAATCTTCCAATGGAGACACTAGTTCTGGTGACCACCAGGGATTTCCTTCTCTTTGGAGGGATTTCCTCTTTCTTCCTGTTGTGGCTTTCAGACAGAAAGTGAAGAGAAATTCACCCAATGAGACACAGAAGGCAAAAAAGCTGACAGGGGTTATAATCATCATTTACTTTATCCAAAACTAAAAAAAGTTTTGCTTTAGTTCTACTTTGAGCATTTTTTGAAACACTGTTGGTAATAGCCATAGATACAGTGTAAAGTAACAACTATCCTTTCCCTTTAAAGGCAAGTAAAGCGGTGCCCTGTTTGGCTCCAAGAAAGGTATTGACTTGAGAAAGCCATCTCCTATGCCTCACTATTGGTCACTCCTATTAAAAGCCCCTAAGATGGTATAGTGTAGAAAGAAAGGGAGCCCTTTTTCACAGATAAAAAAAGCTTTTTGAACTATTTATGTAGTTTTCTATTTTGTTTATTTTGTTTTCCCAATGCATATCTTACATGCACATGGGTATATTCAGCTAAGTATCACGGAAATACACAGATCGACTCATGCAGTGCATGGCAGGCGCCATATTTCAATAACAGTTGTGTGTGTCTCATTCAGGAGACTGTTAAGGCTGAGTGGTATTATCGCATTTTCTCCCTTCAATCCAGACAACATTAAAGAAGGAGGACAAGGAAAGACGTACACATAAAACACAGGGTCCACAGGACAGAACATTTTGGGGGGGAGTGCTTGCCAGATAGAGAGGCGAGTCAGTGCGGGAGACACATGGGGAAAGACGCTTAGTGGGGCGGGGAGGAGAGGAGGAGCTTCCGCCGGACCCAATGGCACATTCGTCACCGAGGGTGCATACTTGGAGGTATTAGATGTAGTGCCCTGGTCAATGTTCCATCCGGGGGTCACTGGTCAAACTACAGGGCTCTAAATGCCGCTGAATCCATATATAAAATCCAAGGGGTCCACAAGGTTGCACATTGAGGTTGACGCTCATGTAAAGAGGCCGTCAGCTCCTAGTGAGGGCCTATCATGAAATATTCGATGTAAGAGAGTTGGACTACGGTACCACCGGGTTAAAATTTTATATCCTTTTTCTTGAGCCGAGCAGGCCACCGAGAGCTTATGAGTGATAACGCAGGCGGTTCGAATCTCCTCATCCGTAAGGGTGACCCCCAAGTCCCTCTCCCAACTGGATATGAACGGCAGACGTCCCTGGAAACGCATCGGGAGCAGCTGACAGTAGAGGAGAGAGATAGCATGTGTAGGCGGGTCCTCCAGACAACATAGAGACTCGAACTTAGTTTGTAATGATGATCTCGGATTTGTATCCCTTGTATAGAATGATTCTAACGTATGGCTACCGCAAGGTGTTCCATCGCCAAAATATATAGGAACGGGGACAGTGGGCATCCCTGTCTAGTACCATTGTTAATAGCGGGAAGACAGCTGCGGGGCTCCTGGGTCTTTGAAGTGAGTCTCCTGTAGGAAGAGGACCCGTGCATGCCTCTTATGCATCGAGTAAGCCAGTTGTGAGCGTTTGCATGGGTTATTATTAAATATTATTATGCCTAGAATCAAATAATTAAACAACATTAAAGAAACATTTCTTCCTTTTCCTCGTAGTTCATTTCTTGTTACGTTTTAGCCTAAATGTTATTTACTTTTTAACTAAGGAAGCTGACATATCTCCATTATCTGCAGGACTGATAGATTGCAGCCGCTGCTAAGTGGAAATTAAAGTGCTTCAACCTTTATTGACAGGCAGGGGCCCAGGGCCTAATTTACTTGGCAAAATCCCAGATGACAGTATTACTGAGAAATCTAATGCCGGGCCTGCAATAACAGCACGAAATTAGGTTTCCCCATTGAGAGCGAGGTAGTTCTCAGTTTAGATCTTACATGCAAAAGTCACATCAACCTGAATTACATGTAAAGCTTCCAGACGAGGAAAGATAACTAATGTGTGCATGTAATTTGGAAATATAGAGCAATCAACTAAAATGTCAAAGTCACAACAAAAATTACTTCCATGAAAGCTTTGCAATAATGATAAGCCCTATGAATACTCATAAAGCAGTACAATGGGCTTAAGTACCACCATGGGGTCACATATAAGAAGCAATAGACAGTAGAATCGGCCATCATCTGGTAGCTTATTGTATAACTGAAACTGTCTATATGAATTAAAATAAGACAAGTTGAATCTCTGAGTTGTACAAGCGAGGTTAATATTTAAATGTTCTCACTATGCGATCTGTTAAACTGTTCTCAGAGAATAAAAATATTCACACATGTGGATCCTTTGCAGTTTTCTTTCTAACTAGCTGCCAACCTATATGATAATACAGCTGTATGAACCAGACTCTAGTGCAGGGGAAGTGAATTAAAAATTCAAGGAGGTCTGCTGACCAAAATTTTCTTTGGGCCGAGGTCCAAATCGCAGTCTGAACAGATCGGTCACTCAGTCCGTGTCTGCACCACGATCCGCCATTTAGGCTGCAATTTCACCAGCAGCTGCACTGACATCAGTTTTCCCCATCAGAGTGCCTCCTTAGATTAGGTGTCCCCTTCAGAGCGCTCCCTTACATCAAGTGTCCCCATGAGAGTGCTCCCTTACATTAGGTGTCCCCTTTAGAGTGCTCCCTTACATTAGGTGTCCTGCTCAGAGTGCCCCCTTACATTAGGTGTCCCGATCAGAGTGACTCTTATATTAGCATTTACAAGCATGAAGTTGGAGCAAAGACAGAACTCCATCTACATACGTGTTCTAGGTCTAAAAGTAATGAAACCTCAGGGTTGGCATGACAAGCTGGCAGCTAGCATTTTCAGAAGAGGTCAGCAATGGCAGCCTACATATTTCTTTTGGTACAAATTCTAGTCTCTTCCTCAGCATCTATTACTAAGTGTATGGTAACATATACGTGACAAAGGTCTTTTCTCCATCCTGGGTTTTGCTTTCCAAGAACTGCGTACAACAAAGTTTACCTGTGAATGTATCAATCCTTGTGGACACAAGCCTTTACAGGAAAGCAAGCTCTTTGCCTTCCCTAAGTTAAGAGTTTAAGAGACCCAATTTGTACAAAGAGAACAAGCGATCCTTACTCTAATGCTAATACTAGGATTTTGCATGAGCTTCACAGTCCACCCGTGAGCTTTTGATGTTACTTCTGGCCTTATACCTACTTCAAAGTTCCCACCAGATGCTTTTAAAGTTACACACAAGTCAAATGAATGGGATACTGAACTCAACATTGCACATCTGAAAATAAATGGCAGTGTATGTTAATGTTGTCATAGAATTTCAGGTGCATTGCAAAAAGTTTTTACTTGATCTATTTACCTGACTTTGATGGGAAAAAAATGCTAAGCGCAGCAACAATGCAACACAGTGGACTTTTTAATATACTTATTTTAGTGTGAAGAACTCCTACTGAAATCACTGGATTTGCTCCATCTCATGCAATTTGCCTGCTGTGGAAAATGCAACAAAATGTGTAAGAGAGTGATTCTATCCTCCTGTGTGATTTATAAAGAGTATGTGGATCTTGTGGTACTATCCACATCTTTGTCCTCCCACTGCCTTTTTTTAAATAAACAGGTTGAATCCTGTTGTTCTTTTATTTGACAATGTACTTACATCCAATCAGCATGACACAAATGGAGAAGATCTTCTCTGAGTTGGTGTTTGGGGAGACATTACCAAATCCAACACTGGTCAGGCTACTAAAAGTGAAGTACAGTGCTGTCACATACTTGTCCTTAATGGAGGGCCCTGAGTGCGAATCAGTATCATTGTAAGTCTTTCCGATCTGAATAGCCAGGTTATCCAGCCAGCCAATCTTATGTTCCATGTAGGGCCGCTCCACATTGCCAATGGCATACCAGATGCAGGCCAGCCAATGAGCTATAAGGGCGAAGGTGCACATAAGGAGGAATAATACAGCTGCACCATATTCAGAATATCGATCCAGTTTCCTAGCAACTCGAACCAAACGTAGCAACCGAGCTGTCTTTAGCAGGCCAATCAGAGTGGTTGTCTAAAGGAGAGATTTGGAGAGATAAGATATGATGGAGTTCTTTTTTTTGAGAAACATACAGTAATCTATTTCTGTTATTTATATACATTCCATAAACAAACCCTGCTTACTTCATGTGACACTAGTTTTTCATTATCCGAGCATGGAATGCATGCCTTTCACTGAAAAGTACATACCATTGTATAGTTTTCATGTATGCTCTTTGGACTATTTTATTTATGGTCATTCTACTTAAGTTATATATCTCTTTATTTTATAAACTCATATAGCACCAATATATTCTGCAATGCTCAGCAGAAAATATGAATCATCCACTGCTTATGTTTTTGCTACATTCACACACCTTGTAGAGCCAGAATTGGTTAGAGCCCATTAACTTTGCACTGTGATTATGGGTTATGGTAGAATACTGGAGTAGATTATGAAAATCCATATATACATAGACAGATTATACAAATGAAAAGCAAATGGTGATTGTGGGTAATTAAATCTGGTACCCCAGTTCTAACCAAAAATAGTCTGTCATCTTAAAGAAGATTTTTTGGTTTTGCCTGAAAAATGACTTGGCAACTTGTATGTAAATGTACATTTACTTAAACACCACCAAAGACGATGGTCAATTTTCTAGTTTATTTGCTGTCTTCATGATTAACATTGTTTACTGTCAGGATAAGCTAAGGACCTCTGGGCATCCTATTACCTATACCTGGAACTTAACAGTTCTGAATAGGTCCATTGTATTATAAGTTTTAATTGTAGAACTTACTTTTTGCAAGCATTTCTTCCCCCCTGTATGTATGTTCCTTACCTACTACTGCCACTATTTGGACATAATTTAAGCAGGGTGGATGCCTAATGCCTACCTCCATGGACACTATACATATCCATTTGAGGATAAGCCAGGTTGGGTAATGTGCACCGTCTGACCTCCATGTTTAGGATCTAATGTGTCTTAATGTACATGGTGAGGAAAAAAAAAGCCTTGAAGCATATGTATTGTACATATGATTGTGATTGTATAAAAACTACTCACCTCATCTGAACCTGTCCTGTAGATTAGCAGATCAAAGGGGATGGCCGCCACCATATCGATAAGGAACCAGCCTTTGAAGTAATGGATGGCAATCTTGGCCGGGTGGCTAACCACCTCATCGTTTAGGTTGACATAGGTTGTGCGGAAGTTGATGATAATGTCTATAATGAACATAATGTCCACTATCAGGTCCACAATGTTAAGAGGGTTGCAGGAGTAGCCACACCCCCAGTTTTTCTCCTCCTCCTGATCGTTCAGCAAAAACGCTGCCGAATATGGGGTGAATATAGCGGTGTATATGACCAGCAGCAGGATTAACCAGTCCCACACGGCTTTGAAAGGGCTGTAATGGAGGATGGTCCATCGGTGAATCCGCGGTGCCTGCAGCTTGTATTCTGGCAATACGTCTGCCCCCAGGGAAAGAACCTAAGGAGAGTGAAAAGTCAGTTATTAGATCTTAATAATTATTTTATTCACTTATATAGCACAATTTTCCATGGCTCTTTATATAAGCATTAAACTATTCTCATCAGCTCTTGCAATCAAAGGACCTTACAATCTACTGACCTTTGTCAGAATCAAACACATGCATCATCAATGGGAATGAAGATATAGCCACTGTACGTCTATTTGTTAAAAGCTCAATACAACCAAACTTTATAATATAGTGTTTTGTAGATACTGGCAAGTTAAACCACTTATCGGTTTCCTATATATGAATCAGGGAATTCAGTGGCAATATTCCCTTGCATAGATTCTCTTAAATTAAACTTCTGCTGCCGCCTGTGCAGTGGGTCCAACTCACCCCAATGGATTTCTGTTTTATTTTAAATCAGGGGAAACGCAACAAAAATGATCGAAGGTGGGTGGGTACACCCACAATTCCAAAATTCATAGAAAGAGAGCTAGGAGCTATGGCAGAGAAATCCACCGGAGTTCCCAAATCATATAAGAAAACAGCAGATGACTAAGCCCACCTGACACAACCTATAAATTAAATGTAATCTTTGGATGGGTTGGTTCTATACATGCTGTTGTGGCCCCCCCCTTTTGCTTCACCTGCATTTTCAAGTCCAGGTGGGAGAATCCCATTCCTCCAATGGTACTTTGCCTATATTTTACATCCCAGTGAATGAAATAGGGAAGAGTGGGACATGGCCTGCCATAGAAGATATGGGAGAGCAGACTACAGCAACGAATTGAAAGAACTGACCCTTTAAGTAAAGCAGTCATTGAACTATGTATGTAAGTATATATCTGTCTTATCTGAGCTACTACCATACCCTAGTGTCTGTTAACATTGAAAGTTAATAAACGGTCAGATAAAGCAATTGTGAATACCATATGAAAAGTTTTCGCCATAGATTCTGGCAAACTATTTAGCAATAATTCAGTATAATTTGTGCTGCCTGTAGCTAACTTGTTAGGTAAAGCTTTGCTTCCTGTCTAACTGGAATAGATAGATGCTAATTCTTATGGACACAGTGCACAATCCAGCAAAGGGCAATGGAAAGACGACTGGATCCTAATTAATCCCAATCAATAAGAGAGTCAGCGGGGTGCATGAGTCTTGTCAGCCATGCAGAAGAGCCCTACCCCTAGGGCCTGTGATTAACCCCTGTTTACCCTTGAATTTGTGAGCGGCATCAGTAAATAAAATCACTGCCAGAGATGCCAGAACCCCCACCTCTAAAAAGTCTGGATAACCATATTACTTTATACGTGCCAATAATCTTAAAATCATATATATCATAAACCCTGATTAGATTTCACTCTGTTGATTCTTCTGAACCTTCCTTATCTTATATACTGTATGCAACTTTTTTATTATCTTATTATTTTTTTCTTTTATTATCCGTATCTTCAAAGGCTCCCTAACTTGGACACTTTTTTGAGGAGCAAATTTAAGTGCACATATATCTTTTTTTTTTTGATACTTGTGGCAAAGTCACACAATAAATGTGAATTAGAGTTGACTAAACATACCGTACATACACTTTATTTACCTATGCAGAGTAATCTGCATTTTAATAATTAATGGGCTGGGAGTAATTGTATTCAATGAACTGTCAAAGGAAATAGAAAAAGGGAAGTGGCAATTAGCAGGACTGGAAATTATGGGCCACGTCTACAGTCTAAATAGGAGTCTGTGCCAAATGTACACTTAAAAAGGTACATTTTTTTGTGGAACCATCAAAGTTTTGATGACCTGTAGAGCTACTTTTGAAGATGCAAGTAAATAATAGTACAACAGATGTTTTGGAGAAGGTACTGGAACTGGTAGAGGGAGGTCTAGATACCATTACCATTTACCAATAGGAGCAGTAGGCCCATGACTATAAGACAAAGAGACAACTAGGAAGCTGTCTTCCCTGTATAGTTATTGCACACACATTTTTTCTCTATAGTTTTAGATCTTTATTTGAAAGGGCTGTACATACATTATTTTCCAACTTAAACCGACACTAAACTCAGGAGTTAAATCTTAAAAATACATTCACGTACCTTAACTATTAACAAAAATATATCTTATTTGGGTATCACTCGGCTGTAGATTCTCATATCATCTCTGAATTGGTGCTAACACTGTCCTTCCTTCTGGAGGTTGGCTACCTTTGTTTCCCATGGTCCCTGTGTGTGTTATAAAGTAGTCACCGCTCCAAGCTCACTTCAGTGATGGACTACAATCTCAAATTAATAAACTAAACGTGAGATTATAGTCCATTACGGGAGTGAGCTTGGAGTGGTGGCTACTTTACAACACAGGGACCATGGGGAACAAAAGTAGCCCTCCTCCAGAAGGAAGGACAGTGTCAGCACCAATTCAGAGATGATTTGAGGATCTACAGCCGAGTAATACATTTTTGGTAATGGTTAAGGTACTTGAATGCATTTTTAAGGTTAAACTCCTGAGTTTAGTATTATTTTACCTAAAAATATAGTCATCTAATATAAGCATACCTGTATTTACATATCACCACGATATTCAAAGTCAACTTTGGACCAGTAAAAGGAGAAAATATTTAATGTAAAGAGGTGATTCTAACACAGGGTATCGCTCTAGGCATCAAATGTTCTCCGCCTCCATGATAGAAATCCAGTACTGGGTACAAGGCAGATGTCCCCAACATGTGAAGTAAACTGCAAGTTAATGGGGTTGATTTACTAAAAGTAAATATTCTGTAGACTAGATTTGCACTTTGCAAGCCCAGTCATATGCAAGAAAAAATACTTTTTTTGTTTTGCTTTTTTTAATCGTCCTTGCACGTGATTGGGTATTCTTTGCAAAGTGAAATTTCACCACATTCAGTAAGCTAATAGGAAACGTCCCCTGCAATTTTAAAATTTCCTTTGAAAGTGAACAGCCTATTTGCCTGTGGGAAATTAACCCAAATGTGTGGTAGACTCAGGGGCGTCCCAAGGCTGGGTGTCACCCGGAGCGGAGACCAGGTGACACCCCGCTGTGCGCGATGACGCCGTCTAATTGACGCGTGCCGGTGGCCGTCTTGGTGGTGGACGCCGGCAGAGAGAGGAGGGGACGTTCACCCGGTGGGATGAGGTATGCTGCCAGGTCCCCTCCTCTCATCTGACACTGTCCATGACCGAGTGCCTGACTTTCTAGAGAGCGTGACACCAAAATGACTGTCAGTCATTTTGCTGTCACCCCTCCAATGGTGTCACCCCGGTGCGGGCCGCACCTCCCTTGTGTCGCCACTGGGTAGACTGCCCAATATAGTATACAGGAATACAGACATATAAGACGTATGAGTTACAACAAGGATCTGTACACCAGAGAAGCAAAAAAAAACAGAACTTTTAAGGAAATCCAGTTTGTTCTTTTTTCCTGAATTGTCATTAATGGGCAGACAGTCTCTCTATAATGTTTGGTAATTGGCTCACAATGGGATGACGGGCTCTCACCACAACATCATCTTCAGGTGAAATATTTTGAGCCTGTTTTGGGACATGTCTTTAGAAAAGGCCATGTATTCCCCCGAATCACATTAACGATGGACATTTAACTCTAAGAGAATAGTATGCCCCGCCTCCTCTACTTGCCTTGTTCATTCTTCCTGTCTGTCAGTAAAACTTGTTAGACATCCTCCTAGATAATTTTTTCTGCTTGAATAAGATGCTGTGATATGTTGTATATTTTAATAAACACACTAGCTTTATCTTAGTTTCTAGCTTTGACATTTGAATATAATTTCACCCTGTCTTGTATTAGGGTCACCTTGTTTATACAGCCATGTTTTAAAGTATGTTTGTACAGTGTGGAACAGACATACATACACATAACATTCATAGGTAAAATGTAGCATTTTATGTGTGTGTGGTAGTGAGGGGTTATAACATAATGCTTAGAGTAAATAATGTATATCTAACTGTGAGTCATTTATCAAGGGAACTGCCTTTTACCTTTTTAACCTTGGCCTAAATACCCAGAATGCCGCCAGTCATAATTTAGGACACATGTATAAAAGCGTATAACTTGCATGCCACAAATATTTATTTTAAAGCAGCTAAAAGAACATGCAATGTGTATGGTTTACAATCATCTTGTGTTATTTATGAACAGCAGAGTAGACTACAAGCTCACAGTAAATTGAAAACCAAACTGATCATTTGCACTGCCATCTGGACTATACACTCCCCACATGCATGTGTATGTCAGGTAAGCTACTTCTGTGGTCTGATGCTAACTTTATAGCCAAAAGCTCCCACTATAGGTAGCTACTGTCAAACATTTAAAGTGGCACAACGCAGGCCTTAAAAATGCATTCAAGTACCCTATTAACAAAATTGTATCTTATTTGTGCTTCACTCGAATATAGATATTCAAATGATCACTGTCCTTCCTTCTGGAGGGTGGCTACTTTTGTACTCAATGGTCCCTCTGTGTGTGTTATAAAGTAGCCTCCACTTCAAGCTCACTCGAGTGATGGACTACAATCTTACGTTTAGTTTACTAATTTGTATTGAGATTATAGTCCATCAAAGGAGCGAGCTTGGAGCGGTGGCTACATTACAAAACAAACAGGGACCATGGGGAACAAAAGTAGCCACCCTCCAGAAGAAAGGACAGTGTCAGCACCAATTCAGAGATGATTTGGTCTACAGCCTAGTGATTTACAAGCTACATTATTGTTAATAGTTAGGGTACTGGCTTCTAAGTTATTTGCAATCATGTTCACTTTATACTTATTACAATGTTCTTTAATGTTGCTACTGCTCAATAACAGAGAATTATATGCTCTCATGTTTCTCAAATCACTTAAATAAAAAAACTGTGTTTCCTAAATGCCTTTGTTGACTTTCTAACCTAGAGTAGAAAAACAGTAGCTGAAATTTGTTTGATTGCTATGGTCAAAGCGGATGCAATCATAAATAATGCAATTTTTATAAAAGCAGCATTATTATCGCTA